GTACCTGATACAAGTATTTCAAATCTTCAAAAACACAGATAAATTCAACCCAGCAGACTTCTTCAGAATGAGCATTAAAACTGTACATGGAAGTGTCTATAAAACTAACAACAGGGAGCATTTTTTACCCACAGTGTTTTGGGAGTATGGAACAAGCTATTCAGCCATGTTGTTGCAGTCCATACCCAGGCTTCTTTCAAGAAATGCCTGGATGAGATCCTTAGAACAATTACCGTACCTAGTAAGTGACAAATGGGACAGGCTGTCACAATGACATCCTCTTCATTTGAACCATTCTTATGTTCATTATGTGGACTTGTATTTGCAAAATGGTGAAGAATCTAGATTAGATTGGGGTGTTTTTCAAACACTACATTCTACTCCAGACATTGAAAAGGGAGAAATGAACACACTTTGAATGGGGATGTTAACCACATTGATAACACGGTTCCTTTTCAAAAGACAAGAGCAAGGAGACAGCCAACAGAACTTAAGAATATATGATGTGTGAATGTTTAAAGCTCTTTCCAAGTTCACTGCAAAAGCAATGTCATGAGCTGAAGGTTTGGAAATGGATAGTGAGGCTTTGTCTAAGTTTCCTCTGCTCAAGAATACTGTTTGAATGCTGGATGGCATTGAGCTAAGGCTCCACAAGCTGTGACCAGGATTATCTGAGCTTTGCTCTGCCCAAGCACTGACCTTGTACTGTTTGCAAACATCTAGCACAAAAGGTCTTTTATCAGCTGATGTGGTCAGAGCCTGCTGCTCACAAAAACAATTGAAATGTCAGGATTAGCTTTTTCCAAATCGCTTAGTGTTTTTCCCTCCCGTTAATCGGTTCTTTGTGTTTCCCAGTGTTGCACAGCACAGCTTGTTAGTCTCAGACTCCCCTAGTGGCAGCTCACTTCCAAACACACAACATAGATTTCTGAACCTTTAAACACACTTTAAAGAACATAAAGGCACGGCTTAGTTTAAGAGAAAATGAAATAATTTAGACAGAAAACTACATCTGAGGAAAACTGAATGTCCTAACCTCTTATAACAAATTGCAGATTTTTTTTCAGAACTCGGAAAACAATATTCTCTGGCATAAATCCTGATTATCCAAGTCATTTAAATTAATGTAGTATTGTTCTAAATTACCACAATTACCACCGTGGTCATTGCAACTTTAAGATGGCTTCTAACGTTTGTTGGAGAACCTTCAGTTGCTTTTCAATACTGCACAGTTGTCATCTGAAGAGACTGCAATGAGAAAAACAGATTTATAATTCAAAACAAAAAAATGCAGTAGTCACAACCACTTTTGATATACAAAATGCACACACTTAAAAGCAATCGTTGATTTTCCTTTTGTATGAAGTTATGAATATTACAAAGGAATGCTTGACTTTTAAGATAATGATAATGTTATACTTGTCAAGATAATGACAAATGGATAATAAAAATTCTTTCCTACAGATGGACTGAAAATTTTCAGCAAGTTTTTCTGTCTAGTTTGTTTCTACAGCTCTGCAAACTAATCCTTTCTGAAAAACAGCAGAAGAGCTGCTCCCATGCCTAACTGCAGTCTCAGTGATGGCAGAATCCAGAAACCTGATTGGCTGAGAGTTTGGGCTTATCAATGTCACTGTTCCACAATGAAGCTTCAGATCTGGGGTGCAAGGTCAGAGATAACTATTTCTGCTTAAAACAGGATGTTAATTTTTTAAAAAAGAATACAGTCAGTTCAGTCCAAAGCCAAAGTAAAATTAGTTTTGTACTGTATGCCAGATTTTGACAATTTCAACCAAATTAGCCCTGTACTGCGTCTTGTGTTTATTCCCTGCTCTCTACAAGGCAGCATACAATCTCCATCTACACTGTCAGTGCTGGAGTATGGCATCTAATGCAAAGCTACTGTACAAGAAACTATAAATATAATTCTGGAAGGCATCTCATTTTTAATTCCTTGCAGGGCCTATCAAGAAAATAAAGCATATACAGTAACTGGGCTGCAGGCCACTTTTCTGGCACCCTGGAGTTTTATTTTGAAGAACCACCCAATATTCTTTCAATGCAATACTGTGCCATTCTGACAACATCTCCATTCTCCAGCTGTACTGCCCAACAATTATGCTAAAAGAGAATAGAGAATGGTGCTGCTGGGGATCAAGACAGTGCTGGATAAGTCCTGAGGAACAGTTAGCACTAAATGCAAGTTTTCTCACAAAACGTTGAGAATCCATATATATTGCCGTATATTATATAGTACTGCACATGAAAACCGGACAATGGTTTCACTTGAGCTATAAAGTGTTGCTCCAAGTATTATTGACATTTCATCAGCTCCGTGAGCTTCTCAGCTCTTACCATGAATAGTGAACGGCAGGAGCCTTTTTTATGACAAGAACAAAATTATAACTCTGTTTATATAAATCATTATTTTAGTTAATCACTTAATTCATCCAGAATTAAAATAAGGTGTGTTACTGTACTGTATATCCTTCGAACTTTAACACTTGGGAAAATGTTTTTGGAATCTTGTACAACATTGCTGGACAAAATTCAATTTATATAGGTCAGCACTAGTTAGACTGTAACAACAACAAACTATATCTGACGTTCTTTGAAAGGAGGGTGGAAAGTATTATCTTTTTCAACTCTTTAAGAAAATGGGCTTCAACAAATCTTTTTCTGATTCAGAAAGCATACTGGGTGAACTTTAAAAAGCACATTTTAGTCAACCGACAGCAATGTCTGTCACTTTAGCAAATTCAACAGTCTAAAACTTTTGCTGCTAATTGGATTTTCATCACCTTGTAAACCATGTGACTCAACTTCACTCAAAGAGATTAAGGTCCAGTGATGATTAAGGCTCTGATTATTGATTTCTGTGGGTGCAAAGGTTGAACAGCTTTATCAATCAGTAATGGCTAAACTGACACAATCTGCGCAGTAAATAGCAGAAATAGATGGGTGTTTTTACTTCAGAGAGAAACTAACGATTAGATCACTGTTTTTAACACTCGTAAATTAGCTGGAGATATGTAGATCGGACAGGTTCCTTCCACTGAAGTCTCTCCTAGAAAAAATTGTAATCAGCAAACGGTTGTTTTGTGCAACTGTTGACAATAATGGATCACAAAAGGTAAGAACTTCCATCATAATGAATCCTCAGATCCTGAAATGGGAGAATAATGATGATCCATGACCAAGGTATGGATTACATCCACCCACCTATCAGCAGAGAGCTGCTTGTTCCTGGTAAAGGTCGTGACAACCTGGTGCTAACTTGGAAACACTAGGAGCAATGCAGGACTACACCTGGGATGAGACTCCAGCCCATTGCAGTGCATGCAGACATGCACATGCACACGGGACAATGAAAGACAGGAGGAGGACTAAAAGTCTTCTGTCCTGAACCAAACCTGGGACATAGAATCAGTGTGGTAACAGTGCTAAGTGCCATTCCACTATACTGCTTACTAAATTATTATACATACATTCAATCTTTTCTTTTATACCACAAGCATTAATTATTATTAGAGTGAATACCCAAATTATTGTGGTTCCTCTTATTCTCACTTAATTTAAATCAGACTATTTATTTTGTTCGATGTGAAACTCTCTGTTGCTATATAATCAGACTACTTCCTTTTTAATGTGATTTGAAACCTGTCAGCAGCAGGTCGGGTCTCCATCCCCGAGACTTATTTCCTCATTAATGTTCTGTTGATCCCGTCTCTCAGTAAAGTAATGCTGTCGATCTAAGATATGCTCAGGGTTGTTGATATAAAATATTTGGTACAGAAAGCGAGAATTTGAGGATAATGACCTTCATCCATTTTCTAATCTCTTCGTCAAGTTTAGGTTTGTGGGGGAGCTGCTGCCTAGCCTAGCAAGCAACAGGTGCAAGGCAGAGTACACAATGGCGCAAACTACTGTAAAGAGAAACACTTCCACATGGCAGCCAACCAGAAATGGCTCCCAATATATCAGTAAACTCACACCAAACTGGCAATCAATTCAAATCTTTGAGGTTAACCCAAAGAGCTAAACAAAACTTAATCAACCTATCTCAGTCAAATTCCTACTCAATATACATCTCAGTAGTTCCCAGCCATCAAATACACAAGGTCTTCTTCAGCATTAAATACATCTGACAGGTTTCTGTTTAAACAGCTAAGTTAATCACAGGTCATTACAGAAAATCATCCCCTCCATTTAAACATTCCCCTCCACATTAAACTGCAGCACGCTCTCCCCATTTCAGAGAACTACATACAGTACTATGGCGATTTCAAAAACCACTTCCCCCAGAATTTGCAATTATCATTCGTTTTGAAAAAAAACAAAAGCCATATGATCACTGCTGCACGTTAGTTTTCTGTGTGTGAGAAGACATTCCTGGGGAAACTAGATTAAGAGATACTAGTGGTTGCAGGGGGCGCGCCAGTGGAAACCCCACTAAATGGGGGAGGCTGCCGGAGCAGCTTGTGAATTAAAGGCACATCCTGCAGTGCGCTGCCACGTACCAGTGCACCCTGCTGCCAGGGCCCTGCTCGCCACAGCCTGGGCCCCACTGCTGCGACTGGGACTGACAGAAAGAGACAGGGAGGGAGACGGGCTCTATTCAAACCTAGGCATCCAATTAGCATTTCTCATACAGCGCGGCCAGGACACACGGCCACCTGTAGACGCTCTGTCAATGCTCGGCAACCTTTTCATTCCAACTTTCTTACTTTCAAGAGAGGGCAAAGGAAGAAAGACTTAAAGGGAAAGAAGATGATATGTGTGGAGAATATTTGATGGGGGTGGGGGTGGGAGAAAAGGGGAGAGAGAGAGAGAAAGAGAAAAGGACAGTGCAGCTCACAAGCATTGTGTTCCAGGAGAGTCTGTGACTGACTCAAGGAGTGGGACTGGGGGGAAGGGGTGTGTTCAGCAGGAAAGAAGCCCTGCCTTCTAGAACACGATTGGCTTCAGCCGGCCCCTGTGAAGATGGGGAAAGCCTGTGGGAGGAGGAGAGGACCTACAGCTTGTGAAGGGGCTGGAGGCTGGTAAACTCAGCCAGCTACAGCCTCTTATACAGTAGGTGCACCTCGTAGAGCCAGAGCAGAGTAGTGTGAGGCTCCCCGCTCGCTTTCCTCAGAGCCACCTGAGTCAGCCAAGACAGCCAAGGAGCCCCAGCAGGCTTCAGGGCTGAAGCTGCAGAGTCCTGGATCAACATTTTCCTGAAGGAGGGGGCTGGACACAGCTTTGTTCCACAGCTGTAAAGTTCTGTGAAGAGGACTGTTCCACGTTTTCTCCATTAAAAGAAAAAAAAAGTTTCCTTTAGAAACATGGCAATACCAAGGAATCAGGCATCACCCACCAAAGCCATGGCCCTGGCACTGGGACTCTTCTTCCTCACCTCTGTGGCATCCGCAGAAGAGTACGACTACTACAGCTGGCAGTCGGACAACTTCCACAACGGGCGCTTCTACACCAAGCAGCCGCAGTGCGTGGACATCCCCGCGGACCTGCGCCTCTGCCACAATGTGGGCTACAAGAAGATGCGGCTGCCCAACCTGCTGGACCACGAGTCCATGCCGGAGGTCAAGCAGCAGGCCGGCAGCTGGGTGCCGCTCCTGGCCAAGCGCTGCCATGCCGACACACAGGTCTTCCTGTGTTCCCTCTTTGCGCCCGTGTGCCTGGACCGACCCATCTACCCCTGCCGCTCTCTGTGTGAGGCCGTGCGGGACAGCTGTGCCCCGGTCATGGAGACCTACGGATTCCCCTGGCCTGAGATGCTTCAGTGTGAAAAATTCCCTATCGACAATGACCTCTGCATCCCCATGCAGTTCTCGGGTAACCACGCCACGCAGACTCCAGGTAATGTCATCTCTCCTAATCCCCTGGGCTCTAATCACTTTTTCTTAACAGACCCTGTACTCAGTACTGGCTTCTTCTAGATTTAGAGCAACACAGCTAACAGACAGACAGAAAAAGGGCCGGGAGGTTAAGAATGCACTATGGGAACTGCACGCAAGGATAGATGCTCTGTTTGCATGCAGGGCTGTTTGACAATTAACAGGTATTCCATGGGTGATTTAAGGATTAATGTAGTGTTTCTATGAAGACAAAGCAATGGCAGCCTAAAGCTGTTTCAAGGTCTTCGGAAAGTTTGAAAATGAAAGAAACTGATAAACAGCAACACTCTGAAATAGTGTCTCTAAAACTCAACTGTGATAAAATCAAAATGTCAGAAAATGCTTTCCTGATAGTGTTAGCATTATCCTAGCAGTGTTGACATTTTATCAGGGTAAGTGTGAGTCTGACCTAAAAACTGTGTGGAATAAATCAGAAGAAATTTGTAGTTATTTATAGTGGTTTCCTTAAAATTGGAATACTTCCGTTCAAATTAAAAACAGGAGTTCATTGAACATGATACTCTACAGATCAAAATTCATTACATTTATTGTATAACACAATTTTGGGGGCACAACTGATAAAGTTTTGGATGTGTCTGTAAGCCATTTTTAGAAATGAACTTTTTATAATGACTTATGGATGATGAGGTGAGTAGAAAAGTCAAACAAAATCACCAAACTATTAAATAAAACCATTGGGAAAGTAAAAGCATTTTCAAGCACCATTCAGTCATTCATTGTACTTTTGTTGTGGAAGGCCTCAAATCTTTTCATTTACATTTTCTTCAAAATGGATCACACATCAATATAAATCCCAAAAGAAACATGTTCTTGTTCTCCGCTCTAATGGTGGAAATAATCACATTTCACAGAGATGATGCTTTCCTACAAGTCAGGCCAAGCTTTTGTGCAAGTCTGAGTCTCAAAAGATACTAGTGATACTACTGAAGGTACTGCAGAGAGAATTCAACATTTTCTGCAGAAACCAAAACTTGTTCTTCAATTTCATTACTAATAAAAAATAATGTAATTTGGAATGTAAAAGGTCTCGCTGTGATTGTGCTTGTTCTCTCTCTTATTTACCTTGGCAGTTAGTCAATTAGGTAGCCAGCCAATTACTAGAGATCACTAATTGGTCAGAAGGAGAGAAAATTAGTGTGTTTTCTTGAGTGCCCTGGCCAGAGAGAAGAGAAGGGGGACAGTCTGAGAAAAGTAAATGAGGGGAGGACTGAGGGAAGAAAAGGGAGCAATAGAGTGGGGGAAAACGCTTGAATAATAGAAAAAAACAGGAAAATCCAGGGACAGGGGAGTTATAGAGAGGGAGAGGGACAAACTGCTGTATGAAACAGAAGGAAAAGAAAACTGAAGAAGGGGAATATGACAATGGGAAAAAGAGGCAGACTGCTAAGTGTCACTTAATTCCTGCCTGCTGGATTTCAGTTTGATTTTAAAATAACTGCAAGGAGTAACAAGCAAAATAAAGTGCAAATAACAGTAACAACTAATACTTTTTTATTTGGTTTCGGTTCTAAAAGAGGAGCTATGACCCCATTTTCTGAAGCGATAAGTAGCGCTTATGCTCAGTATTGGTTCTTAAGTAGTGAAATTTAAACTCCCTCGTCACCCACTCAGTGCTTCCTTCAGAATTCTTGCCCTTGCAATTAGTTTCATGTACAAATCAAGGAAGTGTGGGCCAGTGTTAGGGCAACAGAACTGGAATAAAACAATACTTTATTTAGAAAATAAAAAAGTTTCCTAATTTTGCAACACTGTAATATAAACCTTTAAAAACATGAGCTAGTAGGAGGAATTTGAGTACCACACATAATACTTTTGAGGAATGTGGTATTTTATTAATGGATTGCATTGCACATATATTTCCAATTTGTATGCTACAACTAAATTTACCGCAGAAATGTAATAAAAGCTTTAATTAAAAAAATAATGCCAAATGTTTAAATATATATATAACAGTAAAATTTAATTCGATTTGTTGCTGCTCTTTTAAGAGATTTTATGTAAGACTGTGTTTTAACAGGACACATTAGTTGTTAAAACTTTTCAAGAAGATGAACTTACAAAAGAGTCTTTATAATTTACCATGAAGGCAAGACGAGTATGAGGATATGTGCATTGATGTGCACTCAGTCGGGGGGGGGGGTGGGGGTGGGAGTGAACTTGCAACATTTCAGCTGTGATGGTCAGTTGGAACAAACTAACATTAACATTGTGCTAACAATCCGAAAGCCTCTGATTTGTTCGCTATTGCTTGAAAAATGTTGTATGGTAAAACCATATAGAACTAGGGTCTAGAGGCTCAGGCTGATTTACAATCCTGCCTTTCCCATACAGTATATTCACTAAGCTCCAGGCTAGTGAGGCCTATCATGTAGTTCTTTTCTCAGCAGAAGCAACCCTTATAAACGTTTATAAAATTGTACCTAATTGAAGACAGAATAAAGCATGGCACTTTCACAATAATAACAGAAACTAAGACGTTCAGGAACCTTTTCTGCCTCTGACAGCTTACTGTACAGTTTTACCAAAACATTTGGAACCCTTGCTGGCCTGAGGGGGCTTGATTCAATCTGCTCTGTTGCGATTTTGCTAGAGCTATAGCATGGTTTCAAAACTCCTGTGTGGAAAACTCGTTTTCTGTTCCACAAGACGACTTGTCCTCTATTTCTGACAAAGAATTGTGGAAAGCCAAATGTTTGAATCAGTCACTCTGCTTTGCCTAGAGTGCAGGATTACGTGGAATAAAAGCCTGGAGATTGTATGGCAACAACAACAAAAATTTGACAAGCATGGCCTTTGCTAAGAGGTAACACAGAGCAGAGGAAAATCCTAATCCAAAGGTAATATATATTCAAAACAGCATAGCAGAATATTCTGGTCTCTGGGGGGTCAGCTCTCAGAGCCACGCAGGGTGGACAACACACAGTACACAACAAACTATAGCTGCACAAGGTGAAAGAGACACAATTGTTGTGTTCCAGTAAACAACCTTGATGTATTTACAGCACAAAGACTTTTAGAACACATCATGATGTAAATTCCTGAAACATAGAATCTGAGAGCAAAAAAAGCAATAACATGAAATGTATTAAAATACCAGTCTGGTTTTCATCACCTTTTTCTTTCAGCTTTTCCATCTATCTTTGCCATGCTTTTCCCAAGCATTCTATACATAGTGACAGCAAGAAAATGTGCAGGCATACTAGTGGCACCAGAAACTCACATGGCTTAGTTATAATAACCCTTTGTTTAATATAGAACTGCAGGTAGGTCTTAAGAATGGACTGGCTGCTCTGTCTTAATTCAAACACTTTCTATGTATGTATACACTGTGTATATACTGGGCTGTATATATATTCTTTGCATATGGTATATATTCATGTGTGTGAATGTATTGTGTCGGTCAAGACTGTAATGCACTTTGGTCTAAAATTCTCCAGCTGTACGAATTGACCTGCAGTATCACAAGTGCTTAAATTTAACCTAGGAATTATAGCGCACACATTGAAAAAATTACATCCCTGCAGTGTGTCTGCATCATATTGAATCCATGATTTAAAAAAAAAACACCAACCACAGACAGCGGCCTGCAAGTACAGTAAATAAAAAACACTTGCAAGTATACTATAATCCAGGTAATAGGATGTAGGGAATAATTTTTATACAATACAAAAATATGTCTTATAGAAGCAAAAAGCATGTTGTTGTTAAATGCCTCAGGATTTGAGTCTATGCGGTTGTCTCAACCTCAGATTCAGTACACTGCACATTTAAACAGATCTTAGGTCTTATAATATATATATATATCACACTGGGTCTGTCTGGAAGCAGAAATATTTAATTTTATAGATGCTGTTTGTGAAGCACATTCTCACATCTCTGCCTGATTTGCTGTGTAGTGGGGTAGCAGGTGGGAGCTGCACTTCAATGATGGATGTAGTGAGTTCACTTCCTATCGTTGAAGAGCTTTTGGGATGAGAGGTGTTATTTAGTATATTAAATACGACTAATTATTTATTATTTATTTAATTATTATTTTTTTAAATGTAATCAAAATTAGGCAGAAGGATGTACTTTGTGACAGATAATTATTTATAAAAAGTCAGTAGGCTGTCCACAGACATTTTTAAAAATTAAATAATAACCATACTTGGATCCTAAGAGCAGAGGCTAAGGAACCTGATGTCATGACAGAGGGACTGGCAGGGTGGTGCCTACACCTTGTTCAGCTGACAGCCCAAAGATGTGGCTTCCCAGAAAGGCCACCCCCCACCTCCCCAGTCCTATAGCGGGCGACTCATTCCTCACACCAGCCCTGCTTGTGATGTGAACGAGTGCTTGTCTCTGCATCCAAGATCACCAAACTCCATCTGCTCACCAGCTTCACCTCTGCTCCCGCAACTGGCTGAGCTGCCTGTGCTGTGACAGCGGGGATATTACTGTACATTCATACACGAACGCAGCAAAAGCCAGAGGGTTCTGAAGCAGGAATCAGATGTTTCCTGAATTCAGGCTTTATCACATCTACTGTAACTAGACAAACATTTACGCTGATATTGATACTTATGAAGACACAGGAAATGTGATATGGATGTTTCATAGAAGAAAAATCTTTTCCAATACTGTTTTATTGATTGCACTAAGAAGTATCTAAGCCTTTTTTTTTACTACAAACCATGAATCTTTTAAAGTCAAATTCCTAAGATTAGTTTCTTTCATTCCCCGCCTAAATATGTGCTTCGGAACTATAAATCTTTTTTTGGGAGAAAATATACAAGATGGATAAAGGAGAAACATAGCATTTTACCCTTTGAAAATATTTCTCATTTTTTTCTTCTTTAATTCAAAGTCGGGTGTTTTACAACATATTCTTACAACAATGGAAATTTTAATGAAAAAAAGAATTATACTGTAGGTAGTATAAGCATATAGCATTTCAGCTTC